CTGTATGTACAGTATTTGTATCTGTATGTATGTGTATCTGTGTGTATGTGTATCTGTATGTAGTGTGTATCTGTGTGTATGTGTATCTGTATGTATGTGTATCTGTATGTATGTGTATCTGTGTGTATGTGTATCTGTATGTATGTGTATCTGTATGTATGTGTGTATGTGTATCTGTATGTATGTGTATCTGTGTATCTGTGTGTATGTGTATCTGTATGTATGTGTATTTTGGGTCTGTGCAATATGTGTAATTGTGTGCACTAATTTTATTATTTATTGTATTTGTTAAAAGTATTTTTTTGGTCTGTTTCTTTTCTATTGTTTTTTATTTACTGGCTGTTGCAACAAGTAAATTTCCCCGGTGTGGGATCAATAAAGTCTTATCATCAATCTAAATTTCCGGGGAACTAATAATCTTAATATCATTGCTTAAATTATGAGTACAAAGCCATTCCACTATAAATGCTATAGTCAATCGATTATTTATTCTTAGCGAACTGGATAGATAATCAATCCTTTTATACATTATTTATGTGTTGATGTCCTGTAGTGGAAATATTATTTTTTTCATCCAGAGCCTGCCCTGAGCACACATTGCGTTTGATCATTTTTGAGCCGTGAAGCAGCTGTGCTATCCACTGCACCACCCCAATGCAGAGGGAGAACCATCTGATCATGGCAATATCACATACTCTAATATCAGCAGAAATGTATCTTACTGGGTTTGTAAGGACATCATGCTCCAAAAAGGTGGACAGGGAGTTGACCTTGGGCTCTGACAGGTTTTTTTTCCCCTCTCCTCTGCTGTCTTCTGGCATTTTCTGCTTGTACAGTGTGCTGGGTGTGTTTAGATATGCACATTTTAAATGCTCTAGGGCAGTGTTTCCCAACCAAGTCCCAGAAGACCGCCAGACAGTTTACATTTTTGCTGTCTCCCAGCCCCCAACACACCTGTACCAGCTATTTGGTGATTATAATTGGCTGAGAGCTGAGAGGGAGCAAAAATGTGGACTGTCTGGCGGTCCCAGGGAGTTGGGCTAGGACACACTGCGCTATTAGGCAAATATCTCGGGAAGGGCATGCAACAAAAATAATTGAAAGGATGGAAATTAAGTTTGAAGATAGAAGGATAGGAATGAAGAAAAATTGGTCAAAAAAAAGAAAAGAATGGTGATAATAACCCTTATCATGGGTGACTGGAACCGCCAAACACCTCACGCAGGTCTCACTGTAGCGCAAACTATGGCCAGGATACACAGGCTTCACATGGCTCTTGCAGGACAGAAAGTGACCCTGCCATCCTCTCTCTCAAACATGGTTTTTGTACCCGAGGGAGAAAGGTTTGTGTCAATACTGCTTAAAATGTGTTTCTGCAAGAATTACAGTTCTGAGCTTTCTGTACATTCCTCTTTACACTTCAGTCAATATCATGACAAATCAATTTATTGGTAAGTACAACCCGAACTACAGCAATTCTTCTTTTGACATCCCCTTCAATGGCACACACTGCTTGCAAACGTATCACATTGATTCTCAGTTACAGCACTGGTGAAAACCATTGCAGTATCTTCATTTTTCTTGTCTTCAAAGGTTAAGATGCTCAAAAGAAGCTGACAATACACAACATCACCTGGACAAACTTTTTCCTGACATGTTTCGTAACCATTTATCCAGTACAGCAGTGTTTCTAAGCCAAGTCCTTGGGGAGCCCCAGGCAGTGCACTATTTTGCTCCCTAAGGGAGCTGTGAACTGTCTGGCAAGGAGCAAAAACATGAACCATCAGAGGGTCCCCAAGGACCAGGTTAAGAAACACTGCTAAACAGGGTCACAGGGAGTCTGGAGCCCATCATAAGCACAGGGCACAAGGCGACACCCAGGATGGGATGCCAGTCCATCACAGGATACACATACTCACACCCATACACAGTATACTCAGTTTACCTATGATGGTTCTTGGTGGGTAAAAACAAGTAACTACTTAAGAATTTTGAATCTATCCAGCATCACATCAATATTTTCTGACAACTGTAAAGTGAAGTCTGCAGACTTTAGTTCAGTGTTTCTCAACCCAGTCCTCAGGGAACCCCAGCCAGTCCACGTTTTTGCTCCCTCCCAGTTCCCAGCCAATCAGGAACACCGAATAGCTGGTACAGGTGCGCTGGGAGGGAACAAAAACGTGGACTGGCTGGGGTTCGCTGAGGACTGGGTTGAGAAACACTGCTTTAGTTGCTTGTGGAAATTTTATGCTATTGATGCTTAAGTTGCGTTCACAAGAAATGACCTCAGAGCCTTAACTTTTGAAAGTGAACAGCTATCATACGAAGAGGTTCTCATGATAATACTTGATATCGACTCACATTGAGTGAAGTGAGCATAATGCAGCTACTATGATTGTGACTGAACATGGGGGATATACAGTCATTAGGACACCCAATGAAATATTTATTTCTTTATTAAGAAATATCAACATATCAGTATTAAATCTTCTTTCAAATTATATGTGTAGATATTTACGAAAAGAAATTAACTAAGATGCTAATTTCCACTGAGGAAAAAGTTAGAACACCCTCACATTCATCACTATTTAAAATTCCTAGAATTAGATTCAGGTGGCACCATATCAGGGGAAAATGATTAGAACATCGTTACAGAACTTTTTGGTGGAGCCTCTCTTATTTAAACCACAGACATTTTGTTTGGTTTGCTCTTGATTGTTGAAATGAGTGGGATCACCATGATGAGATCCAAAGAGCTCTCTGAGGCCTTCAGAAAGAAGCTTGTAGATGCATATGAGTCTGGGAAGAGAGTTTGGAATCAGCCATTCCACTGTCCGGAAAATAATTTACAAGTGGAGAACATTTAAAACAACTGCCAGCATGACCAGGACAGGCTGTCCTAGCAAGTTCAGCCCAAGAGCAACACTGAGGAAACCCTTGCTGTCAAAAAAACATCTGGACCACACTGAAGTTTGCCAGAGACCCACCTAGACAAAGACCAGGAATTTTGGAACAATGTGCTTTGGACAGATGAATCTGAAATGGAATTATCTGGGCGCAGTAACAGAGGACATGTTTGGCGTAAACAACTATAGAGCAAAAAAACCTCATACCAACTGCGAAGCATGGGGGTGGAAATGTCATGGTTTGGGGCTGCTTTGCTGCAGCAGAACCTGGCCAGCTCACCATCATAGAATCCACTATAAATTCTTCATCATATCAGAGGGTGCTTGAGGACTATGTGAAAATGAAGTTGAAGTTGAAGTGGACCACACAAATGACAATGACCATAAACATCTCAGTAAATCTACCAAGGAATGGCTTACAAGAAAAAAAAAAAAAAAGGAGAGTTCTGGAATGTCAAGTCAAAGCCTGGATCTGAATCCTATTTAAATGCTGTGAGGTGATTTGAAGTGGAAGTGCATGCAAGGTACCCTTCAAACATCACACAGCTTAAGGAATTCTGCACTGGAGAGTGGGGAAAACTTTCTGCCAGTCGATGTCAGAGATTGATAGATGGGGAACCAAAACACCAAAGGGGGAAATGCTAGCTATTAGGGCACAGGGTGTCCTAACTTTTTCCTCAGTAGGAATTGGCATCTTAGTTAATTTAATTTAATTTTAATTTAATCTTTGTTAAATAAGTGAATTTTGCATAGGTGATGCAATTACATCACCTTTATCTAGAGATATAATTTGAAAGAAGATTTAATATTGATATTTTGATATTTCTTAATAAAGAATTAAATATTTAATAGGGTGTCCTAATTCCTAATTTTTTCACACAACTGTATATTAGTGACGGACCCCCCCAGCCCTGTAACCCTGAACTCAAAAAGCTTTGTAATGTTTGGTAATTGTTCATTTATTTTAGTTGAAGCACAGTACAGCCTTGAGCAAGTCTATTTAAGCCCCATCTATTGAAAATGGCTATAAAAAAAAAACTACACTATTTTTTTATATAGATTTGATAGAGTATATTTTGCATGTCCCAGAATCCCATGCTAGTCCAAAGCAGACCTGAGCAAAAGCCTTTGCGATCATTAAAGTTAAAAAAGGTAAAGTTTTTGTAATTTCCCAAGTTAAGTTGAACATGAAAAGTGCACAGTTCTTTTGATTTCCGCAAGTATTTTCAAAAAAGGGAAAAATGAAATCTAACAAGTCTTTTATTGCAGCTTTCATGGGACAAGAAAATAATCATTAAAAACCAGCCCCTGCTGACATAGTGAAGCTTGGATTTGGACCTCCACAGAAAATAATTGGCCAGGTCTAGTCTAAAGGGTGCCTAACACAAATCAGTTATAGCTGAATCAAACCATTTCTTTAAAATAAAGCTTCCCAGTCTTGATGCCAGTAAGTCTGATAAATGAAAAACTATGTCGTTTTGTTTTGTTGGAACGGTTAAAAATGTCCACCAATCCAGCCATATTTTTACTACTTACCCTCGTTAGGGTTGCAGGAGCCAATGTTCATAAATACAATTTTCACAAACACGATTACAAAATCTCTTTCAAATATTTTTAAAGGTCACCTTCTTGCAGTGTGATTTTTTTCTTGCAGACGTAGACTATAAAAATATACTTTCTAAGTGCAATCTAAACCTTCGTATACTACGGGCCCTAATATCTTAATGTTTTAAGGCGAACAATGAAACAAGATTGGGTTCGATATCTGTTTCGTTCGGTTTGTCCTACATGAAATACCGTACATAGAAGCGAGGATACAGTCATGTGACTTATCATGTGACTGGGAAGGGCTGTAACCTTTTTATCAGTCTGTGGGGCTGTGACTGCATTGTTGAAGATATTCAGCTGATATTCAGCTATCTTCTCTAGAAAGAATTGTTAATCTTTGTATTGTAATCTGTAAGTACATGTTAACTGTTTTTTTCTTGCTTTTCAAATGGTTGTTCTTCAATTATGAAAATGCCAAGGAGTTTATCCCGTCAGCTTACTGTTTTGTGTCGTTTATGAGCCAGTTAGCTACTTTGCTGTGTTTTATAAGCAGTATGCTTGGACTGGTTTGTCATCAAAAGTGTCTGATAACAGTTTGATAGTTTTGGTTTATGTCGTTGCCGTGTATAAATAAGTAACCTTCTTGAAACTTAAGACAGTTGTTTTCCTATCACAAATTATAGCTGTAGACTGCAGTAGTCATTCTGTTTTACAGATGGCAAAAAATACAACACCTGACTTTATTATGAATGATGTAGTCTGCAGAGTAGAATATTAAGTAGTGACCACTATTTACGCTTTAATTTCTGGCAGTTATATCTGTTACATAATAAAGCTACTGTTAGAAAACTCGTTCTTAAAATGGATTAGACTTGTTAGCAGTCTAGAACCAGAAATTAAATAATATTCCTAAATTTCCTTGCTGACATATTTGACAAAGCATTCGGTCTTTATTTGGGTGCGTTAGTTTTTGTTTAATGGGTGTGCATTGTTTTTCAAAAAATAAGATTTCTTTTTTTCTTCTAACAGTAACAATAATACAAATGATATTATTGTTAATAGTATTCTTATTAAAATTCTGATTATTATTTAGCTTTAGGTGAGCGGTTGTGTGTACATTTTAAGTGTTGTTTCTACATAATAATATTATGACACTTAGTGTTGCACATATGGTAGCTTATAAATTTTTGCTTAAGTCATAAAGGCATTTGCCATTGTTTTGCAATTCTGTTAATGTGCCTTATTGACTTCCTGGTAGTGATATGACAGCTAAGTCCCAATTCATTAAAAAACAATGAGTTACGTAGACTATAATGATGCATGTTGTGTGAACAGCACAGACTGGACAGCGCCTTTGATTACTATTTTCCTGACCCTGTCTGCTGCCAAGGACCTGTATTCTAAAGGACTATAATTCCATTTCAATAAAGCTATTAATACTAGTGATGTCTCAGTCAAGACTTTTTGCTTCTCATCCGGTTCTGTTCTGACATTTTTGTGAAACTGCCTTTACAGTTTATAACTACATTAACATTAGCAAAACAGTAACTTTTAAGTAATTTTCTGAACCGCAGCTTTCTTTTAATAATTTATTTTTAACGAATACCAAAATATACAGACCATACTTTAAATAAAAAATCTCTTGTAAATAATAACACTTACCAAAGGGGTGTAACTGTCCAAATAATTATAGTTTTACTTAGAATGTGATGTATGCAGCAGCTTTGACATTCACTAACCCTAATATGAATAGGTACCAAAAGTCACCAATGATTTAGAGGAAGCCTACATTAATATCTCATACTGAGCTGGGCTGGTCATCTAATGGAATGATTTTATTTACGCTGCTGTCTCAAAGAAGTTCTCCTTTTCTTTTCAGAGTATTTTGGTTTCTGATTCTTTCTCTTTGCCTGATAGAACTGTGTAAAATCGGCATTTTGCACTAAATGCTTTCCTTTTGCTTTAAGAAATTAATCCTTTTTTTAAAGCAGTTCTACTGCTGCTGTCTCACGAATCACTGGCACTGCAGATGTTGCAAGTCACTGCAGGGCAGCTTTCATTTGGCACTTCGGAATATCTCCACACTGGTCACATTGAAATCAGCATTATTCTTTGAACTGAATGGCAGTTTCATAAATTTGATGGGCATTCTGAGGAGTCATTCAAGAAAAGTTCTGATATTTTTTTTAAGGAGTTCATCAGAGTGGAAATAAAATCCATTGAATATCATACATGTCTAAAAATGCATCTGTACAGATATATTATTACACGTCAGCTGTGGCATGTCATCTTTTTAGTGCTAGTTGTTTTTTTTTATTCCCAGCTCTCAAAACACCTTATTCAGTAAGTTCCATCCATATTTCCATAAAGCTTTTCCCGCACAGGGCCATGGTGAGTCTGTGTGTCAGAAATCACAGGGTGCCAGGTAGGGCAGATGGGATCCCAGGTCCATTACATGATTTTATCACCTCTATCCCTCCACTGTGTGTTGCAGGGTTGGGGAGCAGTGGCCTGGAGCATGTGAGAGCTGTGCACTGCTCCCAGATGGACGCAGCATGAGAGATAGCTGTGGCCTGGCCGTTTGCCATCGGGACCTGCGCTTACTGCTCCACTCGGACCCGACGGCGCCTCCTGCATGGCGTCGGGATATGCAGCGTGCTTCGAGGGCCAGGGGGAGGTGAAGGAGGGCTTCTTGTGCCCCTTGTGTCTGAAGGACCTGCAATCCTTCTACCAGCTACAGGATCATTACGAGGGGGAGCATTCTGGCGAGGACCGTGACGTCAAGGGCCAGCTGAAGAGTGAGCTGCAGCATGTCGCCCCCTTCATTCATTGGGCAGCATTGAAGACGTAGCCAGGGCTCAACCAGTGTGTTTCTGTTGTGTGTCAGGCTTGGTGCAGAAGGCAAAAAAGGCCACAGACAAGCTGCTGAGGCGGGATGGGGATGAGCGGGCTGATGCTGGGGGCGGCGAGTCCTTCTACTGTGGGGGAGTGGACCCCTTCATGTGGGAGCCTCAGGAGCTGGGTGAGGCGACGGGGGAGGGAACCAGCAGGGTGGTACTTTAGGGCATGTGGTTAATGCTGACCAACAAAATATCTACAACATTAACTGACAGCCTAAAGGAAACTGAAGCAGAGAAGGTTTTGGGTATGAGGGTGACTACTTAGGGTTTTTCAAAGACTTAATGTCATCCCTTCTTTACAGGTTTATATTTACACAGAGAAAACTTTTCAGCTCAGTTCAATTTTATTTGTATATCACATTTTCGCAACATTACATTGTCTCAAAGCGCTTTACATTGTCCCTGCCCAAAGCCCCCAGTGAGCGAGCCAGAGGCGACACTGGCAAGGGAAAAACTCCTTAGTAGCAAGAAACCTTGGGAGGAACCAGACTCATGCTTCAGGGGCCGGCAGAGGAAGTCAAATGGACAACATAACCAAAACCCAATTTATATAGGCCAAATAACACCCTTATTTTAAGGGTGTGGATGATGTTTCTAAATGAGCTTTCATCGTCGTATGTCTAGGAGCGACAAGGAGCCATCTCGACAACTTCAAGAAGTACAGGGCGGCGAGGATAGACCACTATGTCATTGAGGTCAACAAGCTAGTCATCAGATTAGAAAAAGTGAGTCGATATCATTCACCTCACTACTGTTCTGCACTTTGATCTGAGGGAAATATGATTATCTATGCATACCTGCATTTATGTACACCAGGGCTTTTCAAATCTGGCCCTCCATTCCAAATCCAGGCCTTGTTTTCAGTTTTCCCAGGTAGTTAGTTTAATAATTACTGGTTCTAATTGGCCACAGAGGCTTCACACCTGGCACACAGGTGAGGGAAGGCAGGAAAATCAGCAGAGCTCGGACCTCGAGGCCTGTGATTTGAATAACCCTGATGTTCACCAACGAGTCCATACATTATGACCATCCCCACACGAAGCAAATAACATCCACACCTTCCCAGCCCCACATACAGTATTACTGCCATAATTATTCATATATTCTGCAATTTTTGTCACAGTAGCTCTTCTCTTGGTTCATACCAGACGGGATAAACATAATTTACATTTCGTATCAATAAATCTTGGTCGCCGAAGACCCTGTTGGCAGATTGAGGTTCTTCCCTCCTTGGTCTGCTGTCAGCAGATACTCATCACCGCTGACCCCTACAAGATTTGCTGTGGATCCTCTGCCTCAGTTGTCTTGCCATATCAATGTGGCCCTTGTCAAAGTCACTCAGAATCCCTGTCCATTTCTTCTGCATTCTACACGTCAACTACAAGTACTGAGTGTTAACTTATCATCTGGTATATCCCAGACCTTGACACCCACTCTTATTACTAGATAATTGACATTATTTGTTTCATGTGGTGGTCATAAACTTTTCCATTTAACAGGATTAAAAAAATGCCATATATTTGAATTGTTTAACCTGACTAATTGAACTGTGTTTTAATTTCCCAGCTGACTTCATTTGACCGAACCAGTGCCGACGCTGCCAAAATTAGAGGTGAATCGTGCTTTAGGTGGTTCTGTGAATATATGAGACTCAGAAATGCTGCCATCCTGTGCCTAACCTGTCCCGTTACTGACACAGTACTATTGTAGCCCCCTGAATCATCTCCACCTGTTTTCCCGCCACGCAGCTATCGAGAAGTCGGTGGTTTCCTGGGTGAACGACTCCGACGTGCCACTCTGCCCAGACTGTGGGAACAGGTTCAACATGCGCAACCGACGGCACCACTGCCGCCTCTGCGGCTCCATCATGTGCAAGAGATGCATGGAGTTCGTGCCCCTCCCCCTGGCATGTGAGTCAGCAGCCATGCTCGCACACGGCCGCGCAGCTCACAGTGCTACACTGGAATGCTTCCCGCGACTTAACACAGAAACCTCCACATCCTCCGCATGGTGGGTCCCCAGCCTGGCATGGAGGTGATTCCAGGAGACAGGCAGTTACTCTAGGAGAGCTAGACAGGGCCATAGAAGGTTCTTAACCCATAAGTAGGACCAGTATCTGCTCCTTTGTGCAAGGAGGAACAGGAAGAGCACTGCCAGAGCCCTACAGAATGACCTCCAGCAGGCCACTGGTGTGCATGTCTCTGAGCAAACAATCAGAAACAGACTTCATGAGGGTGGCCTGAGGGTCCGACGTCCTCTTGTGGGCCTTGTGCTCACTGCCCGGCACTGTGGAGCTCGATTGGCATTTGCCATAGAATACCAGAATTGGCAGGTCCGTCACTGGTGCCCTGTGCTTTTCACAGATGAGAGCAGGTTCACCCTGAGCACATGTGACAGACGTAAAAGGGTCTGGAGAAGCCGTGGAGAACCTTATGCTGCCTGTAACATTGTTCAGCATGACCGGTTTGGTGGTGGGTCAGTGATGGTTAGGGGAGGCATATCCATGGAGGGACACACAGACCCCTACAGGCTAGACAACAGCACCTTGACTGTCATTGGGTATCGGGATGAAATCCATTGTCAGACCCTATGCTAGTGCAGTGGGTCCTGGGTTCCTCCTGGTGCACGACAATGTCTGGCCTCATGTGGTGAGAGTATGCAGGCGAACTGTAGGATGAAGGAACTAATAGCATTGACTGGCCCCCACACTCGCCTGACCTAAATCCAACAGAACACCTCTGGGACATTATGTTTCAGTCCATCCGACTGCACCAGGTTGCACCTCAGACTGTCCAGGAGCTCAGTGATGCCCTGGTCCAGAACTGGGAGGAGATCCCCCAGGACACCATCCGTCGTCTCATTAGGAGGATGCCCCGACATTGTCAGGCATGCATACAAGCACGTGGGGGCCATACAAACTACTGAGTATGATTTTGAGTTGCTGCAGTAAAATTTCGGCAAAATGGACCAGCCTGCCGCATTATTTTTTCACTTTGATTTTCGGGGTGTCTTTGAATTCAGCCCTTTGTACTGTAGGTTGATAATTTTCATTTCCATCAAACAATGTGGCATCCTTTCATTCCTAACACATTACCCAGTCCATATCAATATAGATATCCAGCATGATTTTTTTCCCATTGAGATCTGATGTGTTTTCAAAGTGTTCCTTTAATTTTTTTGAGCAGTGTATTTTATCATATCATTTTATCGTGGGGGATGTTCCCACTGGTTTTACCGATCTTTGCAATTCTTGTACGGAGTAAAATGGTCCACAGACATCAAAAGGTAGTACTTGATGGTAAATTGCCTTGTATATACTGAGGCATAGACATTTGGGAGGTTTGTATAACGAGTTAGTTATATAAGGGCACGAATGTCTACATGGAACCCAGTGTCACATTTTAAACTGCGTATTTCATGGCTGAAGTTTGATGCAGAGCACGAGTGACAGACCAAAGACGCTTAATGCCTCTATTCTCTGGGTGGGCTGGGAGCAGACAAGCTGACGAGTGGCACCCGGGAGGCCCTGTGCGTCTCGGGCAGCCCGGGAAAGTCCCAGTCCCCTCCAGCAGGTGGCAGCACGCAGGGCTCACGGCGCGGCAGCATCAGCAGCCTGAGCAGCGTGAGCTCTGTGCTGGAGGAGAAGGACGAGGAACGCATCCGCTGCTGCCGGCACTGCATGGAGGCCCTGCTCAAGAGGCAGGAGAGGCTGGAGGAGAAGGAGCATGTGCCCGACGTCGTCCGGCTCTACGAGGTTCGCGGTCTTGCCCTAGATCGCCCACCGTTTTCAGCACATTCCGCACCATGCTAACATCTCCTTTTCCATCGTCCTCCATCAGAAGCTGAGGCTTTGCATAGATAAGGTGGAGCAGAAGGCCCCGGAGTATATACAGATGGCACAGTCCCTGAAGTGAGACGCTCCTGTTTTGTAATTTATTCTCGTTTTATTAGATTTGTGTTTGTTAACCCATGTCCTTCTATTTACTGGCAGTTCTGGGGAGACAACGTACAACCTAGAACACGCTAACGGCCTACGAATGGAAGTCCAGAAGTACTACGAACTGATCGATGCTCTAAGGTACAGATGTTAGATTGGTAATGTATAGCAACATGAAGGGATTAGTTGCCACTTTAAAATGCTCAAATTTCCTCCCCTGCAGCAAGAAGATACTCATCCTTGGAGTGAACGATGAACCCCCACCCCACCCAAAGAGCCAGCAGCTGCAGAGGATGGTCCGCTACTCAGCTACACTCTTCATACAGGTGAGTTTCATGCTGGCATGACCACACTGAATGGGCACGTTTACGGTGAGACTCGGGCAGCTGTCTGCAGGCGACACAGGTTTCTGATTGCATTTCAGGAGAAACTGCTAGGATTAATGTCTCTCCCAACAAAAGAGAAATATGAAGAGCTAAAGGCGAAAAGGAAACAAGAACTTGAGAAGAAGGTGCAGCAGGAGAAACAGGTGAGGAATGTTTTTTTTTAAGCGATCTGAAATAAAACAGGATGATCATGATCACAGGGCTGCCCAAAATCAATCAGCAGTAATTCAAGATTTTTTTTGTACCATTAGGCTGCTCTCGAGGCACAAAAACGGAGGTCAGAGTTGGAAAAGACGAGGCCAGTGCCCAGTACCAACGGAGAGACTCCCCAGCCGGTCAAGCCCACCATGACCAAGGCTGGGGGCTGGTTGCCGTCCTCCAGCACGCTGCACACGAAGAACATCCAGGACCCCCTGCTGCAGCAGATCGACAACATACAGTCCTTTATCAAGCAGGCCCGGGCCGCCCGGCGAGTAGATGAGGTAGCTACGCTGGAGGAGAACCTGCGGCAGCTGCAGGACGAGTACGACCAGCAGCAGACCAACCTGGCCATCGAGCTGTCAAGGAGCCTGGCCGAGCAGGAGAGCCTGGAGGAGGCACAGCCTGCATGGGGCTGGGAGGAGGAAGCAGAGGAGGACACCGAAACGTACATGGAAACCAGCAAGACCAAGATCAGCCCTCCCTCCAAAACCCAGTCCGTGAAGGGCTCCCATCAGCTCCCCGGTCAGGAGCAGGCACCTCCCCAGTCGTCACGCTGGGAGGAGCCGCCGCCGGCCCAAACTGTGAAACCGAGCAGCGTGTCTGGGGCCTCCCTCAATCCCTTCGAGGACGACGATTCCAGCCCCCTGGCGGAGGACCTGTCCAACCCATTTGCCGTGGAAATCCTGAAAGAAAAGGCTCAAAAGGACATGCCCAATGGCAAGAAAGAGTACAATCCCTTCGATGAAGATGAGGAACAGTCACCAAACCCAGGTGACCCAGGAGGGGGGCTAAACCCCTTTGATGATGAGGATGATGAAGGTAGTGAGACCAAGGATAGACCTTCAGCTGTCCATGCAGGGGCCTCCACAAACCCCTTTGACATGCCAGATGAGGACGTCATCGAAGAGGAGCTTCTGCTCCAGCAGATCGACAACATCCGCGCGTATATTTTCGACGCCAAGCTGAGTGGCCGTGTGGATGAGGTGGAGCTACTCTCAGAAAACCTGCGAGAACTGCAGCACACTCTGAAGGAGCAGAGGAGGAAGAAACACTGAAGGAGCAGAGGAGGAAGACACACTGAATCAAGTCCCTCTACCACAGATGGCATGTAGGCATTCATACATCTTATTACCTGTGGTGGAGTATCATGAACAGCATGCCACAGTTGTCATGAAGGATGTTGCTATTGTATCAAGATTTGAATGTGGAGAAGCAAATTGCGGGTTAAGTAATGTTTGTCTTGACGACCAGCCAGAAGACAGGGTAATACAGTAAACATTTCTCCTATTGTGAGTGTTCAAATGCCAATGAATGCCCAAATTCCACAAATATTCATTCGACCTAAAATTTTGATTTCCATTTGATTATATCAGCAAAATTCCTCTCTTCTTCTAGGGCCCAGTCAAAACTTTAGATCATCTCACAGTCTGTAAATGATGTGACGTGTACAGTTTGAGTGACAGTATTGGACTCTGCACTTTTTCAGGTTTATTCATCAACATTTAACACTAATTTGATACAGAGTAGCAGTATTATACCGTTTGCAATCCTTGTTAAAAACCTTGTTAAACATCCTACTAATAAACCAAAGGATATGTTGACTACCCACAATGCACCACTAAAACACACTACTGCATTTTGAATAAACCAAGAACTGTACGTTTCTTACGTAAATCTGTTAATTGTACATAGATAAACAAGTAACTTTCTTGACTGTGACCTGTGTTAATTTTTGCATTCATCAGAAGTTGCATTCTGCGGTAATAAAACTCACCCAAAAACAAACTTGTAATTTTTTACATAATGAGTTGGTGGCCTGTTTGTGCAACATTTCAGTGTGTACTGAATTTCCATTTCATGCGTTTTGACAATTCAACCTGTAACTTGAAATGTCTGATTAAAACCTTTGGAACATGGGGAATACTTTTACATATGAACACATTGATGGTATGGTTGTCGACCGAAAATACTGCAACTTTTTACAAGTCCATTTTTTTTTATTGTGCATAAACAAAACGTATTCCACCAGAGTTCAATATCTACAAGGGACTTGCTGTACCAACGTCATTCCTGGCCCGCCTTCATCTGGTTTCGGTACTTGCCCGTCATCTCCTTGGGCAGAGGCACTATGCCGGGACATGGCACCTGCCCCTCCACCTCGCACAGACACTCCCTCAGGCAGTACTTTCTGTGCCCAAAGTTGGCTGGGTTCGACGTCACCATGGCAGCCAGAGCCTCTGCCTGCAGGACCTCTCTAAAGAGACCAAGACAAATGGAGGAGGAGACAATGACAAAAAAAATAGACACCTATCTAAAAACAATGTGCAGAGAGGTACTAGAACATTCAAATTCAAAGCTTCATACTGTGTCACTAGCATCTGTTAATTTCAACCAATGATTAAACAAAGAAGTCCAATGTCAGCCCAAAACCAACAGAATTACAAATGACAAACTGTTTTTCCTAAGACTACAAGCAGGTCATTAGAGACTCTCACAATCTAAGGTCCCAGCATTAAAGGACTGCATGCTACTACTTGTACTTACTGTGTCTTGCCAACGATCTTATTGATGTGCTGGGTTATTTCATTGTGATTTTTTCCCTCTACATCCACCAAAACTTGCTCCCCATCATCTGGAACAGGAATTACTGTAGTGAGACCTTAGGCTTTTTCTATTTTATTTCTTATAACTGACTAGAAAAACATGCTTGCAATATCTTGGCGCTTTATTATCGCCAGGTCTTAGGTAATTAATATGACTGCGGTCTTCCTGAACAATCCCACGACACGCAATCTCATTAATTGGCACTACACAACAACCGCTTGCGTACATGTATACTTACGTACACACACATTGTACGTACGTACATACATACGTACGTACGTACATACATACATACATACATACATACATACATACATACATACATACATACATACATACATACATACATACGTACGTACGTACGTACGTACATACATACATACATACGTACGTACATACATACATACATACATACGTACCAAGGTAAAACTTTAGGAACGGCGATGGCGTCATATTCTTGAACATCAAGATTTGGACCCATGGATTTTTGTATTGAATTTGAGGGATTTTAAAAAACACGAACTTCCTACAAAGGCAAAACACACATGAAATCAGTTAGCGCACAGTTCAAACAATGGTACTGCTGCAATCCAGAATAGCAAAATTCGGCACACTCCGAAAACGGTGCTATTGCTGACCGTCATCCTTGCACGAATAACACTGACCTTGCCCCCTCACTCAGCTCTCCGTGCGTGTTATAATTAACCGTCATGATTTTTACAAAATTCTTAAAGACAACATCTCCTTTTTGAAGGTACTCCAAGGTTCTCCGAATGGGGAACCGTCCTTTCATAGGCATGGCTAAAAAACACACTTATTCCCTCATTACCAGCTGCAGCATGAAGACCTAATGCACATTTCCCAAACCACTCTTCTTCGGTAGCGCTATAAGACGTTTTTAAACCTACCAAAAAGTACAATGCTGCCACCTATTGGACTGGAGATGGAACATATTAATACTCGTGAGATCTGTCGTCCGAGTCTCCTCATCCGAAAATTCCAAGCAATAATTTCACCCCAGGTCTTGAAATCATCTCCTCAGGGCTTTCTACCTTGGCGTATTACAAAACAGTCTCTTAATACGTAGCTGCCTTGAAGACATCACAGTATCCATAATATTCTCAAATGGACTATGTTGTTCATTCACATACTATGTTGAATTCTCTTTTGACCTCAACTTTTGTGATGAAAAATGTTCAAATGTTTATAATTTTATCGCCTTATCCAGATTTTTCTGGATGAAACACTCAATTAAATGCAGCGACCCACAACACCTCATCAAAGCACCCAGTGACTTGTTTCTCCCTTTGCAAGGAACAGAAGCATTTCACCAAGGTTAATGTGAAAGGCACTTACATTTCAGACTGTGTGTAGCTGTAGTCTCAAAACAGGACAAATGAACAGCATAGGTCTTTGTCAGGTTTTTTGATTTAATGATAATGTTCTTCTAAGCAGAAGGGGAGTGGTATTTTTCCTCAATATTCTTCTCATATTATGCTATTACACCTGACAGGAATCTGACCCACCGGGAGGAGAGACTCAAGCCAATAAGCCTTTATGCAACACTCACTCAGTGGCCACTTAAGTTCATCTAGCTAGTAATGTGTATGGTCCACTTTGCCAGAGGTCATTCAGAGAAGCCATTCTGCAGGAAGGAAGCTATTGTACCGAGCTGTTGTTTTTGTTGACTCAGATCATTAACTATGCCACATGATTTGTTGTTTGGAGGAGCCGGCCGTTAGCATTAACTAGCAGGGGCCTGTATCACAAAGTAGGATATCTTGCTTAGCCAGCTATTTAGTCAGACTTGAGATAGTCTGGGCTAAATGTAAGTGAGCAAAGATGAAGGGATACCTTAAATCCATCAAGTTATTCGGGTAAGCAAGAAATCCGGCTTTGTGATGCAAACCACAGGTGCACCTAATAAACTGCCCATTGCATTGATATAAACAACAAGGCAATCACCAGAACTCCTGCTACCACCCCATAAGTAAAGCAAGTTATAAGGATTCCATCAGTGACAAAAAACAACAGTGACCATAAATCTTTTACATTCTACACAGTCCCATAGAATTAAGAGAGAATTAAGAAAAATGTAAAACAAACAGGCATTTAATTGCATTATGTAATTTAATCATACAAACAGCTCTGTATGGATTTTTTTAAGCCACAACATAACTCCACATTTTAACGGCATTTAATAAAATGCATAAGCTACTTCATGCATTGCAATGCTTTATATACAAAAACAACAATGCCACTTTTCTTCTGGTTCAATGACACTGATTATTATAAAACTTTAAGATTAAAAAAGGACATGCACTCATTTTAATGAAATTACATGTACAGTACAAAGCTCAATTCACATAAAAGACCAGTCATATGCAACAGTCTTGGAAGGTTTAAAACCCAATAAGTGAGTGACATACACACAGTTATCATTAAAAATGTAAGATATACATTAGTTCTGATTCTTATAATATCTGTTACTTTTACAGACATGTTTTTTTTTACTCCATGTCAAACTGCAGAAATCAGCATTGGTACTTACAGTACCATTCGTTTAGTGAGAAAACCATAGTTTTAAGACAAATCAAGAGTTATTTCTTTTGACCTATAAATATAGACAATCGATCACATCTCAATACGCATATCTCAATAGTCAGCGTGCAGTAAAAACCTTGGATTTATATGCAATTGATAATCAAAGTGTTAAACGCAAAAGCTTACGGCATTAATAACGGAACACGCAACTTGTAGAACAGAGCGAACACACATACATATTTACAATAATGTGATTTTACATTAGAATCAGGAGTACGTAATCTTAGGAAAAAAACTTGGGAAGGATGCATTGGTGTAAGACCCACAGCGTCAGCCATTCTCAGCTAAACCACGACATGACAACTCAGAACTGCCGAACCAAGGCCCCCACGGGTATTAACATCTACTGCATATTTTCTTTATGAGAAAATGTAAAACACCAAGAACAATAAATAAATTTTAAAAAACACAACAAAATTCCAGGCTTTCAAAAAGTAACGAATGCCTCTTATACAACGCTTGATTGTCATGGCAGCAACAGAAATGGGGGTGATGAAAGCATTATAGTGCAGACATGGAGGGGGGACATTAATCCTAATGTTATAGGCCTAAATAAAACCACTAAGGGAAGCATAAACAATCTAAAAGACATTAACTAAAAACCACAGGCAACAAATACAACAATAACTAAACCATAACCTGATGCAATATTCTGTGGATTTAACAAGTACCTGTGACTGAAAACAAAACACGTACAGACACTGACATCTAGGAAATGTAGGATGACATTTTCATGTAGAACATAAATAGTGTGAGCTGAGCTTATTTACTGTGCTTCACAAATAATGTGAAATGGCCAACTACTGAGTCCAACAATTAAGTGCAAAACATTTGAGAATGTAAAAGAACTATTTCTAGTTTGAAGGGCACCATGGAAAAAAAATTTCATTCAAGAGTACTTGGGGGGAATTAAATCTACTGAGAATCAAGGTAGCCCATGTTTTACTAAATAAATTACTTGGTAACTTTGATTACTTCCAAAATGAAGTACTAACCAGAACTCAATTAAACTCCATCCATCCACCCATTCTGTAACTGCTTGTCCTATTCAGGGTCGGGGGGTCCGGAGCCTTCGGGTGCAAGGCATGGAACAACCCAGGAAGGGGGGCCAACCTGTCCCAGGGTACACTCACAGCCAATTCACTCACAGCCAATTCACTCACAGCCAATTCACTCACAGCCAATTCACTCACACCTGTGGGCAATTTGGTAACTCCAGTTAATCTTAGCATGTTTTTGGACTGTGGGGGCAAACCAGGGTACCGGAGGGAAACCCCAGAACGACACTAGGAGAACATGCAAACTCCACACACATGGAGACTTGAACCCTGGTCCCAGAGGTGCAACAGTGCTAACCACTGCACCACCATGCCACTCACAATTAAACTTGATTCACATTATTTCAGATTTCTGTTTCTCCTAAGCGACAGAATGTGCAACCCCAGGGGCACTGTAAAGGGAGAGGGGGGGCACTGTAAAGGGGGAGAGGGGGCAGGTTGGGACAATTTAGGGGCCCTGATGATTAGATTGATCTGGATTTGGGGCCTAAAATCGTTAGCGGTGCCCTGCTCTCCGCTAGAATGCGGCAGCCATCATGAACCTAAGCAAAGAGATTAAATGGGACAGTAGCCTTGCCTAGTTTAAAAAGTTGACAGCTGTAACAGGCTTCGGTCTGGTGAAGTGCTGCCCAATGCACACTAAGGAAGGGCAAAGGTGCAGACCAAAGGGCTTGTTCCTCCTCAGATGGGGCACTTCAGGAGAGATGTGGGTTAGTAGCTGGACCCCCCCCCCCCCCAAAACCCCCAATCTACGAACACCCTATAGAGCACGTCAACTCAGAGTACCTGGTCAGAAGGGGTGGGGAACCTAGATGGAATAGCTAAGCTTTAATCAGAGTCAGTGATTCTCACTGAATTCCCATTTTACAAAAACAAATAACGTCTTTTTTAAAAAAACATCATAAAGTGTGAGCTTGGAAAGGCGTCCTTGCACTGGGAGGCGTGAGTCACGCTGAGGTGCCCGTGATCTGGCTGTTGTACTCGGCCGTCTCCATCTTCAGGATGTAGGGGATGATGCTGTCGATGGGCACGTTGCCGATGAGGCCGGTGAAGAAGAGCTCCTCCGTGATGCTGGAGCTCATCAGACGCAGGGCAGGAAGGCGCATCAGGATGCGGGCCAGCCTGAAGCACAAAGCCGGGGCAGAGTTACGGCCAGGCAGCTACTGACACTGTCCTCCTGCACTCTCGGGGGCGTGTATCTGCTTGGCTCCCCCCAGGAGGACTCGGAAATGCTGGGCAGCAAGGATCAGCTCTACACTTCCACACGTTGCCATACATATTGTCTTGCTGCCTTTAGGTGGAAGCTGTCTCAGGTGAGACTTACCTGTAAGTGTCATCTGGGTAGGTCTTCTGAATATAATCCTGCAGCTCCATCTGGGCTTTCTCCTGGAACTTCTCTATTTGGCTGGTGCTGCTCAGACCTGGGTGGTCTGGGGAAGAAGCGTGTGGTGAGAAGGGAGCCGCCTGGTGGCCGTGTGGCCGATTAGGCGACCCCACTTTGCTCACCGGGGCTGAACAGCACGATGGCCTTCAGGTACGCGTATTCATAGCCGTCTGTCTCCAGCTTGGCCATGCTGTTGCAGAACTCCTGTAGCTTCCAGATGTGCTCCATCACCAGCTTGATCCGGTCTCCCGACAACTTGTCTACAACACAGCCAGAGAAATGCCAAAAGGCACGTTAAAGGAATTCACTTCAGAGAATTACAGCTTCCAGCTCGATTGCCATTTGGGGAAGGGTTGTATCAGACTGGGCCAGACCAAACGGCGGAACCGTGACACGCAGATGTAGGAAAGCGGCCCAGCATGCAGCTGCAGGCTCCTCATGGACCTGCGGACCGTACCGTCCTGGATGCTGCTCTGCAGGTGGTTGACGATGGCGGCGAGGATGGTGGAGAGACTCATAACTTGTGAGCACTGGGCCAGCCCCAGTGTGAAGAGCTCATTCCAGCAGGCACGCACCAGGCTGGTGTTACAGTCCTGACTGACAGACACATACAAACAAAAGCCAAAACCTTACTGGGATACATCAGCAAATCCCCCAACAGTCCAACAGTCAAATGTCATTGTGACTGAATGAAAACAGTAGACCAGATAATATCAAGGATAGCCACATCTGTGTTTGAGTAGTGTCACTGAAGTACACTATACCTCAGGGCAAGGGCTACAAGTACATCAAAGACGCTTGGTATGACCGGCACATAGTGTTTACCAAGCTGGGAGGGATCTGGTCACGCCCAGGGCACATGGACTCACCCGAGGGCCTGGAAGGCGGGGATGGAGCGTGCCCAGTGCATGGACAGGAATAGCAGGCGGGACGCCGACTCGCAGATGTAATGGACGTTCAGGTACTCGGGCATGGGGCTGGGCATGGTCAGCTGTGGGGAACACGAAGGTGAATCCCGGCGAAGGGGAGCCATACAAAACACAGAGGCACTTCGGGGTACAGCTCACGGCCATTATACAGAGAGCGTCCCGGAAGATGGTGACAAGCCTGTCAAACACATGCAGGAAACTCGCTTCTGCAACATGTATGATCTGCAGTCAAAATACAAGCCTCTGATATCATGGGAAAACAGACCTTAAAACTGACATGTGTGTCAGTGAGCAGCGGCCCCTCCACCTCCATGATGGGCGTGGCCTGGTCCCTGCTGATCACCTGGATGGCAGCCCCGCCAGCCCCGTCCACGCTTTCTACCAGGTTCCGCCCTTCGCTGCCATCCGTGGGGTTCAGGGCTTTGGCCAGGGTGTCGAAGGCACTGGTGAGAGGGCCGCACGCGTCACACGGGCATTGGCACACTATGCCACAAACATGCAGCACGAAGGAGGGCGCTCAAGACCCAGCCCATCGCCACATCGCAAGGTCTCTCCCTGCTACCAGGTGAATGGGTTTTCCATGGGTTTCAGAAGGACCCAGGCAAACCATACTTATTGACAATAAACTGGCGCTCTTTGATGTGAAGGGCCACTGTACGGGCTGGAGAAAGCGTACCGAGTGATTTCGCTGGCTGATTGCTCTTCCTGCTGGACATCCACGGTATCTCCATTATTCAGAGATTCATTTAGGTTGGCAAGAGAGGTCACCACGTTGGCCAGTGTTCCCAGGTCCCCTTGGCTGGACTCGGCCTGTTAGAAACCAGATGCATTAATATGGAAGGTGCTAAGCTGACAGGGGAATAACAAAACATCAATAAGATATTCAGCACAAACCTTTGCATCTGTGGCTAAAAGTAACGTCCCATCTGCCTGCATTAGAGGCTGCTGAATGTTCACTAACATCCCTGGGTCGAGCAGGCTGGACCTGGTGAAGATTCAAAAACAGATCTGAGATCAGCGCATTAAATTATGAGAAAGGAAATGGAGCAGAGCAAACACAGAGCTGGCACAGTAGCAGCAGACAGAGGTCATAGGTCAGGGGGCGGGGGCTTCACCTGGAGCCATCCTTATCTGTGATGAAGGTGGGCGTGGCTATAAGGGGGCTACGCAGGTCTTTCCTGATGTAAATCTTTTCGGTGGATGCAGCACAGTTTGCTGGCTTCTCCCGCGGCAAGTCAATCGGCTTACGTTCACTCTGCACAGCTAAGTGAGAAGGCAAGAAAAATCGTGTATATTCACCAAGGCACTAAAAGGCATAATTTAACAGCATTGCTGCTAAGCAGTGGCCTCTGTTAAGAGATAAATAGGCAAATTGTGATTTGCAGCTAAATGAAAATTGTGAGCCTTGTCATTTGTACTACTTGGATACCTAAATAAATAGCCATTTGACAATGACATGCCAAATAATAAATCGAAAAACTCTTCTTTCTTGTACACATGTACGTTTATTTTTTGAGGATATGTATACTGTGCATGCATATTTGTATGTAAGCATATGAAGGGTCTGTATGCATGAATGTAAACGTTGGTTCGGGCTGTGCGTTTGAGCTTTAAGCCAGACAGACTCACATTCCATCTTCATGCCCATCTCCAAGCACTTCCTCAAACGGCAAAACTGGCAGCGGTTGCGGTGGTGTTTGTTGACGACGCAGTCCTGGTTGCTGCGGCAGCTGTAAGTCAGGTTCTTCCTCACGCTCCTCTTGAAGAAGCCCTTGCAGCCTTCGCAGCTGACGGCACCATAGTGACGACCTGGCAGGCAGAAACATCAGCCTAAGACAAACTAAATGAGCACCCCCCCCCCCCCCAAAGCAGCGGGGAGAGGGGTGCATCTTCCCCAACCTTCACAGGTGAGCAGAAATGGACTGGAATTCATGCGGCCTCCTCCTGGCCAGGGCCCATACCTGAGGCTTTGTCTCCGCACACCACGCAGTACTCCACAGGCTGCGGGCGGCCCACATCGCCCGCCTTCCCAAGGAGACGCTCCACCGACGCGGCGTCCGTCACGATCTGAGACCACACACCGAAGTTGCGAGAGAAGCTCGGACATGCATACGAGCACAGTGGGTCTGCACCAGTGTTGGGGAGCAACAAGTTACATGTAACGGCGTTACGTAATTTAATTACAAAAAAATGTAATTGTAATCCGTTACAGTTACTAGAGAAAAAACTTAACATCATAAGATTGTATGCAAAACCTTGCTAATATCTTTAATACCAGAATTTTTTATTGCTTTTCGTGTTTTCCTTATGCAAAACATCCCCTTTGCTATTTCCCTCCACATACGAAAGTTTAAAACTATTCGATGCTTCTGATTGGTTATCCTGTCCCGTCTACACTTGCAGTGCCAGTTCTGCTAATTAACTTGCCGGAGCGGTCTGAGTTTCTGTTGCAGGCAATGGTAGACAAGGAAAGGAATGCATTCCATTGCTGGAAATATAAAAACCATTTCCGATACATTACGGAAAAAGGCACAAATTTAACTGTGCAATGCAGTGCGTGTTTACCGGCTGTAAAGATGCTGTCGATAACTAAACAGTCCATGTCCAACCTAAGCAAACATCTAGAGGTAATTGCAGCTTACTGCAACTGCAAACAGTCATATTAAACAAGGCAGGGAAGACATGCCTACCTTCAGCGTGCCACACGTGCTTCTAAAGTCTAATGCCCGGTACACACTGTGTGATTTCAGCAATCTTATAAAATCATTACCGATCATACTGTGCGATACGGATCTGATAATCTTTGCTATGACAGGTCTGCAGACTATGTACGGCGACAACACCAACTGAATCATAAGATAACAAAACAAAATGTAAACACTGACAGCACGCGTAAACACTGACAGCATGCGTAAACACTGACAGAATGCGTAAACACTGACAGAATGCGTAAACACCACAATGAATCGCGAAGTGTGTATCGCGCTTTATAAGTCACACTGCCACTTCTGATCCCGTTGACAGAAAATGTGCCCTCCTTCAATATGCTAAGGTTATTGGTAATTTATGTTAGGTCTGATATTAGATCTCCCGACATGCTGTGTCGTATAGAGTTTTGAAAATTCACTAACTAGCTATAACCCCTGGGCAAAGCAGCCTTACCACTCTGCTAACCCATTTTATTTTACAGTGCTGCAAAGACACTGTTTTAGGCTACTCCGTGATTTGCGATTGAAAAATTGATTTAAACAGAGTAAGTGATTACACAGTCAGCTGAAATTTCATATCCTGTCTGATGCAAGAACTGTTCAGATCAGAAGTAAAACGGAACCATTTATTTTTGCAAGTATATAAAATGTTTGTACCATAATGTAATCCTGAAGCATTACCGAGTGGTTAAATCACTCGTAGTTTATCTTGTTTTTACTCCCAAGAAGTTTATATTATGACCACACATTAGAATTTAATAACTGCATGTAGGCTGAGTTTTAACTTTTTTTTTTGACATTTTAGGTATATTTTATGTAACATTAATGTTATGACTTGTTACACTAAGGGAATCTGGGTTTTCACTGAGTATGAAGCGAGGATCTATTCTTACCCTTTGTTTAAAATCATTATTAGGCCTATATGGTATGTATGGTATGTTTGTTATCTTTATTAAATTGATCAATTATAATCATGTTAATTCATGTATTGAAAGGAGTTTGACAGTAGTCAGTGTTTAGTGCTGCTGTAAGGCAAACACTGCCAGGTTACAACATTTCAAAATGGTTAACAGTTGAGAATATTCATTCATAATTTACAAAAGTAATTAAAAAGTAATCAAATGTAATTAGTTACACTACTTTCATATAGTAAGTGAAATAGTTACACTACTATTACATTTGAAATAGAGTAACTTGTAATTGTAACGAATTACATTTCCAAAGTAATCTTCCCAACACTGGTCTGCACTGACGAAACCACCCATCTGCACTTTGTTTTAAAAAAACGTTTCATTTCATATTACTGCTACAAGTACTGCTGCTACTTCTATTAGAGCCACTAATAACAATAATAAATGTGTGATCTTCTTGTTGCCAAGGGAGGTGACAGGGCCCCGTCTCCATACCTGTATGCGGCCAGGCATGATACTGTCGGCTGTGGTGAAGATGAGCTGCTTGGTGTTCTGCGTCTCTGGCGAGGCCAGGATGACCTTACTGGCGCTCGAGCCATCGGGAGCTGCTAGGATGAACTGCTGCTTGGAAGTGCTTGAAGGGTCCACTGCAGTGACGATCTGGATCTTCTGCCCTGTCTGCTGGTCAGTGACGATCTGAGGGGACAAGCATGTGCTGTCAGTGAGCTGCCAAAAGGGGGATTTTAAACAATCCTGGAGCTCCACATCACAGACAGTTAATGAAGCAGAGTTAAAAAATGGCTCTTTATTAGCAGTAAAAATGCTGGAAAGGACCTGGAGGCAATGTGGAAAAGCAGGGTGAGACAAGTCAAAGGTCCTTTGGCACAGGTTATATGAGCCTTGTAAGGACGGAAAACTTAGCTCACCAGTCTTGTTTCAACAGGCCTAATTTTTGAAACAGAGTTGTGTAGGGATGGCTCTGCATGGGGGGAAAGCCTCGGTCTGCTGTCACGCATATACATATGTCCTCACACAGGGACGCTACCTGTATGTGCTGTGCTGTGGAGACAGCAGAATCAGCAGAAATGATCTGGATGCGCTGTGGAGAGCCGCTCATTACTGACCAGTCTGGGGAGGTCTGCACCGTCCGGACCTGAAAAATACGGTGACACCAATTCATACATTCACAATTCATTCCCCAAACCTGTCCCTCTGAATTATTTTTAAAGCGCCTTTCACAGACAGTCACAAAGCGTCATAAAGAAACATTACAACAGACACTGCAATGAGAAAATAAAAAAACATAAAAAACCTAATTGGACAGTAAACACTAGAACAACAAACGAAAGGGAACGTGGCTACCCATAGGCTAGACTAAACAAAGACGTCACCAGCTGGTTTCTTTTTAAGTGTCAATGGTATTCTCTTATAACAACAAATCTGGTTTGATTACATGTAGCTTATGATGTTCCTTATCCATAAAATGCTTTGTTATGTTTACTTTAATCTATGTAAGCGTCTTTGAGATCCTGAGAAGCGCTGTATAAACAAAATGCATTATTATTATTATTATTAATCATTTATATTTTACATTAATATATTTGGCACTTTTGCACATGTAGGCTATATACTACACCAGTAGATGGTGTATTTTGGTCACGACCGAGGTATGGCTGTCTCTCTTTCACAGAGTGGCTCACCATCTCGTTCCCCCCTTCCGGTCTCCCATTATTGTTCCAAATGAGGAGAGATCCAAAGGAGTGGAGAGACTCTCTCATTCATCAAATCACGCACCAACTCGGTCGTTCCTTAACTGTAGGCATATACGTTCAGTCCTAGGTTTAGTTTCCAGCCAATCATAAGCTTGTTTACAGCACCACCTTACTTAGTTTTTTGCTGTGGTATCGTTTTAGTATCGGTATCGAAATATTTAAGGCAGGTATCATATCGAAGTCATGATTTCGGTATTGTGACAACACTAGCGTTTAGTGCAAAATCCCACTAAACAAAGCGCACGCAATAGTGACAACACGAGTAATATGGAAAAAAAAAACAGTTGACGATTTGGGAGTGGCTAGCTTGGGTTGTTTGGGCACTCGCTGTAACTTGTGATACATGGGCTGCTATCACAATGAAGCGTAAGTGACACTTATGCCAGTGGGAGAAAAACTGTGGGGCATTTTAAGCATTTGCCACTTGTGTATACTCACTTGGAAGATATTCAAATTGAACTGCAAATGCCTCAAAAACACTTAAAACAAGATGTACAAATGGAACAATACGTTATGTATGTTTCCAGTGGCCTACTTAAAGAATTTTTGGGATAGAAGTTTTTCATTTGTATTTACTCGTTTAAAAAATGCATAAAGTGTAAATATATATATTATACACTCACCTAAAGGATTATTAGGAACACCTGTTCAATTTCTCATTAATGCAATTATCTAATCAACCAATCACATGGCAGTTGCTT